TTTAAAACGCGTCTACTAGGGAGAGGTTTCCACACCCTTATAAAGAATGTTTCGTTCTCCTCATCAACCAATGTGGGATCTCCCACCATGTTTCAAATTAAAGTCACTTCGGATATAGAGAAATCTTATTTCTATCTAACTTTGTATTTGTCATTTGGTCTTTTTTAATGGAGGTACTATGTTTTCTATCCTGGTTGAATGATTGTTTAATGGTCATTATGAAGCCAACAAAAGAAAGCAAAATACCTTATGCTCCAAGTTATCAATATCTGGCTCTTCTCCCTCATGCGCCACTACATCCTCCATTTTCAGGTCAGCTGAATGCTCCGTCGACGGTCTACTGTGATCCTCCCTCGACCTTTCAGGCTGTTCAGTTCCTTTGGATTCAGCGCCTGTCTTCCTCTCCATTTCGTTTCCTTCTTCATCTTTTTCCTCCTCACCTTCATCTTGCTTCTCCTCCGGGGTGCTGAACTGTCGCTTTGAAACATCCATTTTCACCTCGTCTCCTATGTCTTCATCAACATCTAACTCATTGTCTAGAGAATCATCTGCATTTGATGATGAATCCCCGCTGCCAGGACTTTCCCCACGCAAAGATTCCTTTACCAAAAAAACATATTATCAAGTAAAAATTCATTCTATATCCTAAAATAAAGAAAAATACATTCCAGCTCCAAGCATCATTAGTAGACTGTTCCTGTTTTCCTTCACATAGAGAAAGTAGATTAAATTCCCAATCAAGTTACCTCAATCTTAAACTCTTGCGCTAGGTTATTGCCAGCTCCACTTTGATCTTTAGCAACTCTAGCAATCTCTTCACGCTCCTTCCTACGGCGCTTTAAAACGCATATTGCACATAAACAATCAGATTTATGGCGTCTTCTGCAAAAAAAAAGAGGCAGTTCAATCAGAGCATATCATTTCAGAAGTTTTATTCTCATGCAACATTATAAGAAATAAAGTGAAAATTTAGTAACATAAGTCCATCACTGCAGATATAAGGATAAGAAATTAATTTCCAACTAGTTAGGCAGAGAGATTTTACAGTTAAGTAAAAAAAATTCATTTAACCACAGTTGATTGGCTTTTGTTAGCTAAACCAGCAATTTTCTTCTAACCATGAACATAAAGGTATAAATTTTGTTGAGCTGTGCAATTCAAAAGAAACTCATCCAAGGGAGCTTTTGTAGGTAGCAGAAACATACCCATGACGCTTCTTCGTTTTCTGTTTTGACTGACCTTTCAGAGGTTTCCCCTGACTGGATGCTCCACCATTCTCTTGGGTTATATCACCACCTGAGATTGGGAAGAAGAAAAAAAAAAAAAAAAAAAAAAAATTCAATCCTAATCCACAGTTTTCAAATAAGATGCAATTTAGACATGTATCATTTACAAACAAAACAATGCATCAACTGAAAAAAAAATCAGGAATTGGAAATGTTTTCCGTGTGAATTGACAACATACAACTTTTAAACGGATAAATATCTTTGCAGTAATTCATAACTACGCTAAAATGATGCCGAATTGTTTACACATGCATAGTCTATTCTATCACCAAATATAAAGAACAACAAATTCATTCAATTTCATTTCCATCTGGTCAGCAAGAGTTACTAAGGACGGTAGTAATTTTAGTTCAATGCCAATGAATAATATGACCCCAACATGATGACCAAATTCTCACCATTGGTTGTTGAAACTTGCCCATTGTACAATCCAGCAGCAGTCCAATATTTTGAAAAGTTTTTCTTCACCCTCCTCATAAGATCCAAAATGTAGTCCCCTTTATTATTGTACTTGTAGCAGTTCTCCCAGATATATCGCACGTCCTTGAAAACATCCTCCGAATTCATATATTTAACACCGTTTTCAAGATTGCCGCATATCGTCCCAAAATCCATCGGTGTATCTATCACATCAAAATAATCCTAGAGCAGAAAAGAAATATTTAAATAGAATAAAAAACCAACAACACTCACGATATAATAATATGCACGTTGCAGAGTAAATTTTCATTTTCAACAAATCATATCGTGGATATAAGTTATTTAAATGATACCAGTAAAAGTATAAGCAACCAGTCAAACATAAATGCACAAAAGTGCAATATTAAAAGCCTTTCAGCTCATGAATGATGTCGACCACAGCTGAAAACTTGAAAACTGGAGACCTAGGGAATTCCTTACCCTAATCTTCCCTGCTATACATTTTCATTACAACAAAGCGTGCAGTGATAGCTCGTTGATCCTGAAGCTCCTAAGGGAGTCAAGCTATTTGATATAATAGTTGCAATTTGGGGAGGAGAAACTTTCAGAAAATTATCACTACCCACAAGCTAATAACCTTTGTGAAGTGCTCATAAATATAATCACACAGCCATAACTCCCAGTCCACTAGCCTACCCATGTTAAGAATTAAGAGAATGTAAAAAGATCTGAAAAGTAGTATGACAGCAGTAACACAACCATATGCAGTAATAAAACTGACCCAATTAGCATTTAAGATAATAATTCATACTTACAGGTATCCCCAAAGCAACAGGATTCACAGGGACATTAAACGGCTCTGCTGCATCCATTTTCATTACTTTCTTTATGACCTGAATGTGAGCAAAGATCATTATAAGATATGCATTATGCACGTTTAAAAAGACAAGCATAAACCTTGAAATAATTAGAGCTACTGGGTGTATACTTTCACATATTTTCTTTCATTTACATGTTCTTGAAGCCATTTGTGCAAACCTCATTTCTACAACCTTCTCATGGCATTGAAATCCAGTTTCTTAATTGGAAAAAGAACAAAGAACAAACGAAGAAAGATTCTGAAATGAACACGTACCGTAAGAGCAGAATTCAACTCGTTCTTATTAGGACGAGAATCCTGTTGAGGTATCCGATTACCCCCACCCTGTGGCTTCACTGCAGTAGTTGTCGGGTTATTACTTGCTCCAAGGCTTTTGGTTGACTTGATCTTTATACTCCCAGGCTTTTTCGATGCAGTCCCAGAAACACCAGTTTCCTTCTCGGGCAATGAATTGGCACTATCTTCAATTTTCTCCGAAACAACGCTTTGTTTCTCTACGCCCATTTGAGGACTGCTCTTATCAGTATCACTTTGAGTGAGCGCATCGGAAGAATTAAGCTGCGCGTCGATAAATTTTGAGGTCCTGAGCTTCACTTTAACACGCCCAAGCGACGATTTCCCTGCCGCCTTATCCATCGCAACCTCTGGATTAACATTTGCAATATTGAGATGATCAGTTCCCGTTGACGAAGGCGTATCAACTTCAATCGCAGAGTCATTATTGTCATTATCGAACTCCTCCATACCAGAATTCTCTCCTGCAACTAAAGAACTCGCTTCCTTTCCAGCTACTTCAGTGCCCCTTTTTCGCTTGCTTTTCTTGTTCCCTCGTTTTCGCTTCATCCTTTGCCCCAAATCACCAGACAATTGTAGCAAAAATGAGGCAGCTCAATAGAGCATGAAATTGGATCGTTAAACAATCTTCGCTTCCTAACAATATGATTAAACGGGATTTTGGGGGGAATCAAGGGAAGAAAGAAACAGAGATAGCGGGAAAAGAAATTGCCGCCAAACCAATTAAAGTAAAACCCTAGATTGAAACCCACAAAAATTGGAATTACGGAAAGAAAGCAGCAAAAACCGAAAACGGCAGAAAAGAGCCACCACCGCCACCAACCATTCCATGATTAAATCACCGCCGTATCGTGTTGCGAGTAGCCAGGAAAACGATTGATTACAATCCTTATTGGGCTTGACCAATGTGGTCAAAGCCCAACCCATTGGTCCAGCCCAGGCCCAAAATAAACTATCAAAGAGAAAAATAAAATTATAAATTTTTATTTATTTATTTTTAAGCATTTTGTCGCTCCATTTCAATAATATATACTTTGAAAATGATATTTTAAAACTTAAATTAAAATAAATAAATTATATATATATATATATATATATATATATAATTGTTAGACTAATAGATTAAATTAAAAATTAAAAAATGTATCGTAACAAACTTATAGTTAAAAAATATATTTTTACCATCAACCATCTTAATTTTCGATATAGTTAAAATTATTGTCACGTCAATTCTTATCATCTAATTTTTATAAAAAAAAATCTATAAAAAAATCAATAATTTCATCGTTCAATACTTAAATATAATTTTTTAAAAAGGTATGAGTAAAATTTAATCCAATTATACAAATTTATTTAATTTATTAAATTATTTATTATTATTATAAACTTAAATTTATTGATTTATTCACCTTTAACATTATCCACTATAAAATTTAGGAGTCTCCAATATTTTATATGCATCTATTAATTTATTTTTAAAAAAAAATCATGAATTCATTATAATAAAATACATAATTGATTAAGTGAAGGTAGAATCTAATTCATTTTTATACGACGTTATAATTGTTCATCTCGAGACATAGTTCTCGATGTCGCGTATAGATATGAGAGTAGAATTATTCTATACTGTGAATTTGTATGAAACCGATCATGAAATATTTAATCTCTCTATAAACTTATTAATTGAAAAGATTAATATTATGCAAATTCAATCGGAATCTGGAATGAATTATACTCCTATGTGATGATTCGTACTTTGATTTGTATAGGTGCCGATTAAATATGTCTGCCATTTTAGTATCTGACAAAATAGGGATTCACAAACGTCATCTACCGGATAGCCATTTTGAGATTGACAAAATACAAGAGTCAGAAACTGATAACGGATTAGATATGTCTATCGTTTTGAGATATGACAAAATAGGGAGCTAAGAATCTAATAAAAAAAGATATTTTTATTAGTTTACGTTTAATTTATAAATAAATTAGAATTATTCTCTAAATTAAAAATTAAAATTAATTTTTATAAAATAGTTAGAAATTAGTTTTGACTATTAATAAAAACAAAATTAAATATTAAATTTATAATTTGACTCTTTCATATCCTTTTAGTCCGGCTGGGCGCTCATCTCTTTCATCTTTGTTTCATTAATTAACTCTCTGGGCGTTCAACTGAAACCAGCTCTCCCGCTAATCCAATTCTCATGGATTCCTCCGTCTCTGACACCTCCAATGCCGTTTCGCCCTATCAAATTCTCTTCACATCGCTTTCTCTCATTCCCCTCTCTCACCTTCTCTCTGCGCTCTTCATCGTCTTCTTCATCTTCCTCTACAAGTTTTTCGAGATTCATTTTCTTCACGATTTCTTCCATGCCTTCGCCGGCGACCGCGTTTCCATCGTTGCATCCGACGCCGATTTCTACCAGTCCGTTGTTTCCAAGTGCCGGATTCTTCATGGCAGGTTTGTTCTTCTTCTTCTTTCTGCTTCTCATGTTCTCTTCATTTCTCTTTCTCTTCCTTCGCCATTCTATTGATTTCCTTCCCGTCAGGTTCTCCTCCACTCCATGGCTTTGCAGTCCTCATCTCCAGACTATTTTCCTCAGTATTGTTGGGAAGTGTCCTCCTGTCTCCTATAAAAGGTCTGCTGTTACTGTTCGCGTTTATGATTTTCGCTTCGGATTTAACCAAATGAATAAGTAAATGATCATGAATGAAGAAAGGAAAGAGAGAAAGAAAAGATGTCGGTTATCCGACGTACTGAACTGAACATACTTCTAGAATCTTCACTAAGTCATGAGGCTTCTTTCCAGGATCACACTATAGCTATATGTGATTATCACTTCGCGGAACATCAAAGATTCTACTGCTTGATCTGACCATGAATGAGATCAACGCTGTTTGCTTTCAATATGTGTGCTGATTTTCCAGAAGATTGAATATAAGTGGAAAAGAGACCTCAAAATAATTATAGGGGATTTTAAAAAAAATTCAACTAGTAGTCTAGCATTAAATTTACTGTCGTTTCATTGTTGTAAATAAAATTTTGTATCGTAAGCTTCTAAAATATCCTGGCGGGTAATCTTGGCTTATTACACTATTCATTATGACATAATCGGAACCCTCAATGTTGATTTTTTTTTTTCTTTCAATCGTTACTTTTCTTCCATTTTTATATATATTTGGACCCATGTTTTTTCTCCAGACAGTTATTCCGGGTACCTGATGGTGGAACAATTGCTTTGGATTGGCTAAGGGGTTCTGATGGTAGGTTTAATTCATTCCCTCATTAGTTAAGAACGTTCTTAATTTCTCTATTCTGTCTATTTCGTTCTTACTTTCTCTATTTTGTCTATTGTCTCTGATCGCAGTAATGCATTGTGTTTCTGATGTTTCTGAATGATTAAAAGGAGTATTTGTTTGTTGTCCAATCTCGAAATTGGCTAATGTTTTTCTCTTTTTTAATTCAGAAGGATCTTTTTTTATTTACCTTTACAAATCCTGTTTTCCTAGAACTTGTAACTTATTGAATTTTAACCATTGAAATATTTTAGAAGTATTTTCAAAGAGTATGTACTGATCAAATATTTATAAAATAATGACAGAATTTATACTATTGACATACTTCTTTGGCATGTTACTTTTTCTATTTCCAAAACAGTTGGGTACTTTTAGCATAACTATTAAGCATTAAAAACTGAAAGTGTAGTCACATTTTTTTAAAAACTTACACCCACCTTTTTATCCAATGTTTATGCAGGTCTTCTCAAAATTATCAGCAACATTATCTTTATCACTAGTCTTTTGTGTTCTTATAAGTCTTTAGTGACAAAAATAGTAATGAGCTAACTACAACTCATGTTCTATTTGTCATTTTGTTGGGTTTTATCTTTTACAAATTATAGGCAGTTGGTTGATGTTGTTTTTCTTGCCATCTCATGATGAGACATGAATCGCAAAATTTTAAGTCCTAGTGTACCCTCATGTTAATGCAAGTCTTTTTAGGAGATGTATAAATTTCTTACAAACAAAAGTAAGGAAGTTCAAGGGTTAGAATTTGTGCTTTACCTTCTTGAGCCTAAGGCATAAATTTCAAAGGTCTCGACTAAATATCAGTTTATCTGTGGGATCAAAATGTCACTGATCTGTTTGGTCGAATATTATATTTTCCATTAAATCAACCACGCTGATGTTCATCTATTAGCAGATAGAAGACATCAGGATTTTTCAGTAATCAAAGTGATGTTATGGGATACTTCCCTAACTCTGTACCCTCTTGTGCAGTTAAATGTGATGGCTATGACGTGAATGTTAGCACTTCTGACAATGAGAAAATACCAACTGTTATAGTCATTCCTGGATTAACCAGTGACTCTACAGCAGCTGTAAGTTATATTTCATATTCACGACGGGTGTATTGCCAAATTTATTTATTCTTATGGCCTGAATTTTCCAATGAATTTTCTTTTCTTCTTCTTCTTTTTCCCCGGTATATACGTTTGCACAGGGAAGGATTTTTATTTGAGATGCCATATTATTATTATCATTAGTGATTATTTTCTTCAGTTAATAGAATAAAAGAATTATCAAATTATTATGTCTTTTTCATCTGAAATGTCACGTGCATATCATAGTTCAGGAGACAGGAAAATACATCATCATTTAAGAAGTGTGAGGGTTCAAACCTCTAGCCTCATGGTTGAGGGTATAGTTGAGCTATGCTCAAGTTGGCTTAAAAGTTGGTAGTTATATATAAACGGTTAGTTTCAATAAAATGAAATGTTTGATTTAACACATTTATGATCAAGAGACACAAATTCTTCTTTATGGAAAATATTTTTCATTAAATAGATGAAGTTACAAGTACGTATGAGTATGGTGATGGCAACTTAAAACAAATCTCGTCTATTCTAATTATTCAATATCTTCATGTATAATTTGTATTTAGTAGAATGTGAAAGGAATTATTGAAACTATGATAATAATGCGTAATAGTTTTTCTTTTCTTTTTTTCTTTTTTTCTTTTTTCTTGTTACAACTGTAATACTAACGCAGAGTTGGAGTGTGAAAATAAATGATGGAATTCGAACAGGGAATATATCATGATTTTTTTTTCAGTGCTAGCATTTAGCCAAAGCTTTTATATATGTCTGGTTGTTTTGTTGGGCTTACGAAGGTGTCCTCTTTCCACAGTACATTAAGCATTTGGCATTCAGGATTGCAAAACGTGGATGGAATGTTGTCGTGAGCAACCATCGTGGTCTTGGTGGCATATCACTAACTGTAAGATTGCTATTAATTAAACCCTGTAGGCATGGCTTTAACCTTCAAATAGGGATGCTGGACGTTATGCCAAATGCTACATAACACCTTCCACTCAGTCTCAATTTGTTTGAATTAAGAGATAATTGCAAATTATACCTCTGTGATTTGTATTTTAAAAATGATTTCAAACACTTATGTTGTTTGCAAATTTGAAAATAGTTCATAAACTTACAAATTATATGAGTTTTTGAAAACGATAGTAAAAATCAGAGTATGATCTGCAAAATAGAACAATGCAACCACAAGAGCAAAATTTTGCAATTTTCACTTTTTTCATTGGCTTTTTTCTGTAGTGTGCATCCAATTGACATCTCTTGCAAAATTTTCAAAATCATAACATTTTTTCTTGCATCTTGAACTCTTAATCTTTGTATGAACTTTTCTGTGTTTATATGTATTTTAACGTTGATCGATTAAGAATTCTTGAAGCGTAGATAACTTTTCTTGTATGTCAAAAGCATGCATTGTCTTGACGAGATTGCTTGAATTCATCATGTTTTTCTGCACAGAAGCTTGTTTGCGTTCCATGCTTAAGAATAATTGTCTCTAGAAAGCTTTATGTCAACTTATGGCATTCACATTTAGTCTTTAATTTTCAAAAAATGAGAAACAAAAAACTTTTGGCTGAAGCCGTGAAAGGCTCTAATTGGGAAAAGTTCTCTACTGAACGCCAAAGTAATTTACAAAAAAAAAAGTGACGAGGTATTATTTGTAGTTTGTGAGTGTAAACAAAGCAAACAAATGTCTTAGAAAGTTGTACACAAAAGAGTATGCTGGGGAATCATCTTTCTGGGGGGTTTCCCCCTTCTTTTCTAATTTCATACTCATTGAAATTGTTTCTTGTACGAAAAAAAAAAAAAAAAAAAAAAAGTGCTGGGGAATAAAGAGAATCTACATGGAACCCATTCATTTGCTGTAATGTACAATTTGTTTAATTTAGCTGCGTATTGTGTGACTGAATATGCGTTACTGAACAAGTACCTTTAACCTAAAGGAAGGACATCCTCAAGGAATTGGTAGCATAAGGTTCAGTCCACTGTGTTGAATTCATGAATCTTGAAAATTGATGTTCAAGAGGCCTCCCCAATGGTATTTTCTTGAATCATTCTCATATGATCTGTGAGTCCTTGTCTTAGGGTGAATATTTCTCTGCATTGAATTTGTCAATTTGTTGAAAAATGATCCAAATTGTGAATTAATTTCCCCAACATAGGCTCAAAGTTCATCAACCTTTCTCTGATTTCCTCCAATTGCAAGTGTTGGTTCCGATTTCCTTCTACTTTTGCCTCCATTGGCCGTGGTCCACATTTGATGGAAAATTTTCTGGCCTTGAACTTCTTTCTTGTGCCGTAAATTTTCGTTACTGGCAACTTCTTGAATGCTCTTGAATTTGTATCACGATCTTCTCTGGAATCAGTAGAGTGACTAGAATAAGAATTCCAATCTAAATCTTGATAGTATTTTTGAAGAAATTGAGTATGGGCAGAGTTGTTATGTTGAAATCCATCTTTCGAACAGCTAGTTGAAATTTTAGCACTATGTGCTTGTGGTTTTCTTGCCTATATGGATAGTTGCATCTTATCTTTGTCACATTTCTTGTGTTGTAAATCTTCATTCTTGAAAATGTGCTCATCGTTTCTTCTTCCTTCTTGAAAAGAGAATACTCTAAAAGGTATTCTTTCTAAGTAAGTGCGAGCTGTTGAACAATGAGCACAATTCACAAACTTCCCACTTGCGATCTGCGTCAACAAGAGTTTCCCAGTCTTTCCAAACAATTGCTTTGGTACCAATTTGGAGTAGCCTAAGTGACTAAGTAGAAGTCTCTTCAAGAAGTCTATCAAGAATCTTTATTATCAATAAAAAAAAGGTAAAGAATACAAGAGGGAAATTCTCTATTTATAGAGAATTTAAAAAGAAAACTTTAAATTTCCAGATGATAAGATTTAAAAGGAACCAAGAGTAATATCTATTAACCACTAATCTTACTACATCACAATAATAAGATTTTCCTGATGTTTTTTTTTTTTTTTTAAATTTATATTATGGATTTCAGTATATCTGATGTATCTTACTTCACTGAAATCTTGGTAATCGTTGGTTTTTGGTCAGTCTGAACGTGTCTATAATGCTGCGTGGACAGAGGATATAAGGAGAGTGGTTGGCCATATTCATAGTCAACATCCAGAAGTCCCTCTGTTTGTTGTTGGAACTAGTATTGGCGCAAACGTTCTGGTATAAGTATTTACCTGTTAAGCACTTTATAAATTCATGTTTTCTTGACTGCATTGGATATTATCCTGAAGTCAGGAGACGTATAAAAGTAAGATGGATTCAAGTTTGCTCATAAATTCTTCTGGATGGGTAATCTTACGTTGTCCTAGTTTAAGAAGCCAGAACATTGTTTTGGGATCAATGGGAATTTTTTTATTGTGGAGTCTGAAAATCTTTATTCCATCTTCTCATCTAACTTTCAAAATGTCTGGTAAACATTAGTGCTTGGTAATTTTTTTTTGTATCTTGTTTCTCATGTTTAAGAAACGTTCTTAAATTATGTATAAATTTGAAAGTAACAAAATCTAGTTTCTTATTATTTTGTTTTTTTTGCTCTTGTATCAAGTTTTTCTTTTAAATATAAATAAAAGCAGGATATTATCCTTTTGGACTTATAAAATGCATAATAAATATAGTACATATATCATAAAATTTGTGAATAACTTATTTTAAGAAATTAATTTTTATTTAAACTTTTTATTTTGTAATTAAAAACTCAAGAGAACAAGAAATGGTCACCAAATATATTATATATTTTTTTAATGTAAAAGAAAGAGAAAACTAGAAACAAGAATAGTTACTGAATATATTTATTTCATAAATAAGAAGTAGGAAATGAAATGGGTACGTTACCAAAATGGGCCGTCAAGGTGCTGCTCAGTCTTGATAACCTTATACATAGTTGGGAATTGATTTCTTAATAGACTATGCACACACTGTATTAGCTTGGAGAAGCTCGTAAAATTAGTCTTATGCATAATTTTGTTTTTTTCTTTACCAACTTATACTGCTTCCTTCAGGTAAAATACCTTGGAGAGGACGGTGCTAATGTCCCCATTTCCGGTGCTGCTGCTATTTGCTCGCCTTGGGATCTTTTGGTCAGTATGCTTGTTGATATTTGAGGGTTTTTTTTTTTTTTTTTTTTTTTTAATTAAATTTCAGTTTTGAGTATTTTAAGTTTTTATTTTATTTTATTTATTGTTAGATTCAATTTTTTCAGTTTTAAGTCGTAAGTTTTCACTTTAAACATTTATCATTAATGTTGTTTTTATTATTTTTAACTTTTTAAGTTGTTAGATATTGAATACGTTTATTTCTTCTCTCTATATAAGTGTGGACTTCCAAGAAGGTTTTGTATCACTAATTTTTTTATACTTCAATAGAAGTTAATTCATTTATTGGATTCCATTCTCTCATTTTCATTCTCTTTGTTCCGCAAACATTGAGATTTTGATTTGATTAGTGCTTCCACAATATTTTTTCATCGTTCATTTTTTTTTTTCTCAATAGTGGTATAAGAGTCTTCGATTTAAAATGCTATAATTTTATTTGAGAGTGAGAAATTCAATTTTTGTATTTTAAAAAATATTTTCTACCTCTTCTTCACGTATTAATGGTGAAAACTTCCTATTTTGGATTGTTAATATGCAATCGTATCTCAAGGCACTTGGCATTTGTGAGTCTGTTTCAACTGATGATGCTGGTCCTCACCCATTAGGAGAAAATCCGACTTTGACTTAGATCAGACTACCTGAAAAGGAGAAATTAAAGAAGCCCAAGTCTTTAGCTGTGATTCATGCCATTTTATGTGGTCCTATATTTGATAATTAATGATTGTAAAACGAAAAAAGAAGCTTGGGATAAATTGCTGGAAGAATTTGAAAAAAAGTGCCAGGGTGAAAGCTATCAAATTATTGACTTTGAAGAAAGAGTTTAAGATGATAAAAATGAAGGATTTAGATATTGGGAGGGACTACACAACAAAAGTGATGAGATAAGTTTCGCTGGTGAAAATTTCAGATTTAAGGGATATGGAAAATACAATTGTTAGTGTTCCCAACAAATTTGAGTCAAAGATCTCAACTATAGAAAAGTCTTTTGATTTGATTACTTTCTTTATAGATGAGTTAATTAAGAGATACAATGTGTAATGAAGAGCATGTTAATTCATTCATGCCAAAACTAAAGGCAAGAAACCTAGTGCAGAAGATAGATAGGCAACCAAAGATCAGGGGTACAAGGAAAAAGGAGCATCAAGAAAAGATAAATTTCCTCTTTGACCTACCAAGCTGAGAAGAAATGTTGGTCCAAAAATAAGCAAATCTATCATTGTGATTATTGCAACAAGGATAGTCATACAGAGAAGTTATGCCAAGAAAAACCAAATCCAACAACATTCTTAGGAACAAGCAAGTTGTTCCGACAATAATCAAGAAACAAACTTATTGTTTATGGCTTCTCATGTTGACGACGAAGAGCCAACCTCCTGACCTATTGACAGTGGATGTACTATGCACATGGCTACAGATATCAATTTTTTTAGCCAAGTTGGTAGTTCTTTAAAGCCTAAAATCGTTCTTGGACATGACAAGATGATGCTAGTTGAAGGGTAAAGGTATTGTCATTATGCATATTAAGCAAGGTGAAAAGAAGATATTCAATGTTTCAGATATTTCAAAATTATCTCAAAACTTGCTTGGTATTGCTCAATTGTTGCATAATAAGTTTTCAAGGATCAAGTTCGTGTTATTTATGACCAACCAGAACTAGAGATTGCAAAGGTCAGCATGGTTGACAATGCTTTCGTTTTGAATGGTGACTCTTTATGTCATCAGCCCTAAATGCCAAAGTGGAAGAAGGCAAAACGTGACATCAATGCTTTGGTCTCTTCTAATGTGGTTGATGAATTTTCAAATTTTACCTTATTTGATTAAATTTGTGAAAGTTGCCCAAGAACGGAAGATGTATGGACTACTTTTCTTTCCAAAAGATGGCAGTTATTGAGCCAAAGAAAAGCTCAAATTGGTGTGCATAGTGATATTTGCAGTCTCATGTGCAACACATCTTTTGGGAATAAAAAATATTTGATTCCATTTATTGATTCTTTTACTCTGATGACTTGAGAATATTTTTTGATGGAGGAACTCAAGTTTATGATACTTTCAAGAAGCATGCAAGTTTAGTTGAAATTAAGATCAATTACAAGTATAAAACCTTGAGAATGACATCTCCGTCTGACTTAATATTTGTTGCACGGGACTTAAAGTTGATTGGATGTGCTAATAGCGATTGGACTGGTTGTTGATGGGTTTAAAAGTATTTTTAGTGCTGTTGTTTCTTGGAACTTCAAGTAAACTAGAAGTTGTGGCTTAATCTATGGTTGAAGTTGAAATTTCTATATCAGCTGCAAATCAAGCAATATGGCTTCGTAACTTGCTGGGTGATTTTGGATTTAAGCCAAAAGAACCTACAAAAAGGTTTTGAGATAACCAGTCTGCCAGTTTCTTCAATCCGATACAATATGGGATAACAAAGCACATAAAAGTCAATTTTATTTATTGAAGGAAGGGGAGAAAAAGTGAACTGTCAGATAGTTTGTGTTTCAACGACACACTTAGGTGTGGCAAAGAAAAACCTCGACGAGTGTTGAGATTTGAGGATTTTCATAATTAAATTTCAGTTTTGAGTCTTTTAAGTTTCTTCTTTATTCTTAGATTCAACTGTTCAGTATTAAGTCGTAAGTTTCACTTTAAACATTTAACACAAGTGTTTTTTATATTATTTTTTTAGTTTTTAAGTTGTTAGACCTCAAATAGGTATAATTTTTCTCCATATATATGTGTAAACTTCCAAGAAGGCTTTTGTATCACATTTTTTGAATCACCAACTTTTTATACTCAATAGAAGTTTATTCATCTATTGGGTTCACCATCTCTTTTTCATTCTTTGTTCAGATATTGAAATTTTGATTTGATTGTTGCTTTCACAATATTTTTTCATCGTTAATTTATTTTCTAAATAATGCCAATTGTGTTCTGAACAACCATGTAAGATTTTGGTGGTATACTAGAATCCATCTTATTTATTCTGCCAGTCTATTTTCTGGGCTTTCATTTTATATCTTAATTTCCCGAATGTTTTTTTTTCCCCTCGTTGTGATGCACGTTCATATTAGCATGTGTAGAGAGGCTATTGAATGGATCTCAAGATCGTTTAGTCTATGCCCATCACAACTCTTTTCTTTAACTGATTTGCGTCTCTTTTCAAGAAGACTTTGCGTGGAAGTTGTTCTTAGGTTTGTTGCAAAATTGAGACGAGTACAGTCTGCAAACCTGATGGACTGATATTAATTTACTTTCTACTTTTCCTTCTATACTTGTGATACAGATAAAGTAATAGAATTGTTCAATTTATCTTATAGTCATGAGTGTCCTTGCTCATCCATTCTCTCAGGATTCAATGTGTGCGTGAAGCTCGTCCCAATGTCAGTATAATGGCAGGACCCAAGCTTCTAGTCTGTTTTTAATGGTCTAACACAATTCACATGCCATTTCCTTCTGTAGATTTGTGACAGGTTCATTAATCGCAGGCTTGTTCAGGGTTTTTATAATAAAGCTTTAGCTGACGGCTTACAAGGCTTTGCACTATTGTACGTTTAAATTTTTTTTTATCACCTCAAGATTTTTTTCTTGTACCCATTGACATGATAACTAAGATAGATTTACTGCCTTAACTATTAAACCTACATGACATTAACATCTTTCCAACTTTAGGGTTTCTTATGTGATGACTAAATTATTTTCCTGTAGGCATCAATCCAACTTGTCTCGACTTACAGAGTGGGAATCCATTAAGAAGGTTCTTGACTCTTTACATCATACTTTAGCATGGAAATATTTTAAGTCGAGCATTATAATCTTTGCGAGCTCTGATATGATGATCATCTTCTGATGGATACCTTAGTTGTTGTGTCAACATAAGTTCATCAGTTAAATTTATCTGGAATTTATACACCACCAAGATTTCCATCATTCTTCTTTGGGTTTTTAAAATATTCAATATTAACAAAACTACTTATTGGGCTGTCCTTACGTGAGGAATATAAGACTAAGTTACATTAATTTCGTAACAGATTGGAAGAAAAGTGCGGCTCATATCTATAGGTTTAAATTATTTACTTGGCCACCCATTCAATGCAATAGATCGAAGTAGCCTTTTAAGGGCCTGCAAGTGAGGTTTTCTGAGATTCAACTTCAGGACTTCCTACTTCTTTGGCGGTTCTAAATAGAAATTGGAACGAACCTTTAAAACCTTATCATTCATGTTTTTATTTATTTATTTAACCATAATTCATATATATTTACATATTGATCTTTTCATTTTTGCTTCATGGCAGTCACGTTCGGTTCGTGATTTTGATAACTATGCCACACGTATCCTTGCAAATTTTGAGGTAAGATATGCACTCTTACTATGAATACTTATTTTGACAGGATAATTTTAAACAACAATTCTTGGAAAAAAAAAAATGTAAAACAGGTCTGACAATAATTTTTTTTTAAAAACAGCTTTCAAGGGGTAAAGAACAAAAAATAGAAATACTGTTCAGTGTGCTTTCAAAATTATCGGTTCATATATAATCATCAACAGTTAAGGTATAATTGATCCTAGTTTGTGACATTTTAAAATTAATATATAGAAGAAAGAAATAAAAATACATGAACGGAAGTATCTTTTCATACAGTTTTTAAAATTAAAAACAAAAGAAAATAATTTTACAAAATTAGTATGGATTTTATTTTATTTTATTATTACTTTTTTGTAACATGTAAAATCAAGAATCGCCTCATGTTCTCATATCTATGCAAATGCTATAATAACATGTTTCCCTTTCCCAGACCGTGGATGCATATTACAGGCACGCCTCTAGTTCTACATATGTGGGAAATGTGGCAGTGCCACTTTTATGTATCAGTGCTTTGGATGATCCATTGTGCACAAAAGAAGCCATTCCATGGGACGAGTGTAGGTAGGACTTATTTCTAGTTCATGCTTGCATACACTTGCTTTTTTTGACATTAATGCTATACTATTTCACCTTGTTATTGATTTTTTGATAAGTGAATTTTTTTTTTTGCCAGTGTCTAAAGCTAGTTTTTTGCCATTAACATTTACCGAACTTCCTCTTGCTCAAATGTGAATGAATGACCAAAGTGAGTTGAGCCATAGTTGGCATCTACTCTTTTCCTTAAGGTCGGAGGTTCAAGTGTCCCCACTTGTTCTTGGCCAAATTACCCGTATGAACAATATCTTCTTTATTTTCTGTTGCCTATTTAACTGACTACAAATATATTGCACCATGTGATAGTTTAATGAAGAAAAGGGTCTTATACTTTTTTTAAGTGCAAAGTTTTATACAGTCAACAGTTACAACAGCTACTTTCTGACATTACAGTTATTGTACTTTCAACATAACCAGCGTTGAATCAACACTAGACCTAGGTTATCAATTTAATCTTTTATCAATTCATTTGTGGGTTCAAAAATTTGCACAGGTTATCAATCTTAATGGGGAGGATAAAATGACTTTATAGGAGGTCAAAGGCATGACCTTTTTTTATCTCAAGAATTTTTTTTGGTACCCATTAACATGATAACTTATTCAACGACATCTGTTGCCAATTTTTCTTCAAAATAGTTTCCAATCCTCTAAATTCTTTGTTTCCTCGCCTATATAGCAGGCCGAGTAAAATTCATTGCTGTGACTTGTTTGATTCTCTCTTTTGGAGTTTGATTAACCCTGGTTGTTTAATTATTTTCAGGACAAATAGGAACGTTGTTCTAGCAACGACTCCACATGGAGGACACCTAGCTTTCTATGAAGGGATAACTGCCAGCAGCATGTGGTAATATTCATGGTCCCATTTGTAAACGGCTCTCGGAAATAGGAATTTGTTCAATTCTCCAAATTATGATAGTAGCACTCTAGCAGTAAAGAGAGATCCAGGTTAATTTATGAGGCATTTTTATGTGGTAATAGAAGGGTGCAAAAATTCCAAATGTATGATTAAAAGGCTTGATCTTCTGCTTTCATTTTGGGTCATGGCGCTTGTTTTGAGTATAAAATTGTCCCAAAAAAAGAAAGTTAATTACTGATTGCTGAATCTGGAATTAATGTAATCTAATTGTGATTGATCATGTCAAATCATATCCTGTAGGTGGGCGAGAGCTGTTGATGAATTCCTTGGCGTCCTGCATTCCAGCCCGTACATTAGCGTAATAAAGCAGGTACAGTAACATGACCCTAATAAAATTGTAGCATTGGAATAGAATTCACGAACCGTGAATGGATTATCCAATCTATAATGAGAGCCCTAACAATGGAAAAAAGTTCGGGCCTTTATCCAACCAAACAGAGGAATAGATTGATGCTTTACCCTCTGTTATTAATACCTGAGACAGATCCAAGCTACCTAGCTGCAATACTCCTTGGACAACCATTATTGCCTACAATTTAACAATGGGCTGGCTTCCTAGATCACCTAAGAGAATCTAAAGGAATGAAAACACTTACTAAAATTTAGGGGAAGTGGGAGGCTCCGAACCGCTCGAAAGTTCGGGAATTCTATAATTTATCTTACTTATGGTATTCTAGTATGTCTTTTCATTCCTATAGATTCTCTTAGGTGATCTGGGAAGCCAGCCGCGATGATCCAACCATATGGGTTTGAACGTTAAATATCGATTGCTTTGGATGTTCCAAGTGGTATTTACACCACTTAAAACTTTCCCTTGACAACCACTTTTTCTGTTGGATTAGCAGTACTTGTGATCCTATCTCCCACATTGGTAGATATTCTTTTTCCTGGCGAGAAATTAAAGATCTTCATGTTTTGTGTATTGATTCTTGGGGTATTGGTAGTGATTTCAAAGTTAAGTATGAGAAAATTGAACAAGCTCATCTGAGATCTCTCTCCTAATGATATTCCTGTTTCAAATGCCTTTTATATTTTGTCAAACATGATGGAATCATCCATTTTCAATCTTGTTTACCTATTTTGCACCTCAAACAAGTGGAATGCTAGGTTCATCCACTTTGGATACCCTCAAGAAAGGTTCAGCTTTCGATATTGTCCTATTGCCTTAGAATTGGAGCTTTCTCTCGGTTGCAGTCCCTTTCATATCCCTCCCTCAATGTTATCATAAAAACCATAGGAATTTTATACTTATTGACGTCTGAGAAGCCTTCTATTTTTATATAATCTGACTTCATTCGACGTATACTTTCTTGCAGATGCAAAAGACGAGAGCACCGACGCCGAGCTTTTCCATTGATCAGGGTCCTTACGTGAGTGTTTTGGAAGATGGAATGGTGACTGCAGTAGGGGACGAACCAACAGATGATACTGTGCAAGACATGCCAAACCAGGAAACGACGAATGTTAGTACCGACGACGAAGTCATTTTGGACAAAGAAGAGGCTGACCATGATAGGAAGAATGACCAACTAGAGATATATGAAGAGAAGAATACAACACCGGCCACAACTCCTGTAAGGAAATGTACAGATTGTCTTGCACGGTGGAGTGGTAGATCAGTTTGGCTGCTCGCTTACATCGCCGTCCTCACGACATGGCCAATGGTGCGCCCAGCGCTCTCGTTATTCTTTAAGAAAAGAGATAAAAATCCAGCAACTGGAGGATCACGTAAAAGATAAAATCTGTTGTTGCAATTATTGATAATATTAAGAATAAAATGGGGAAAAGGATAGAATTTACATTTACTATAGTTTATTGGGGAATAAGATATGAAAAACTAGTAGTGTAGTCTTGCTGTTTGTCCAAGTTTTCATGTACTGTGTACTGACTGGTATGAAGAAATAAAATTGATCTGTTTGGTTTTTTCTGCCATTTTGTTCTTGAAGCTCGATTCTTTTTGCATGTTGGAGTGAGCTTTAATGTTGCCCCAAGAGGACCGTGTCTAATATGGAGAGGTTTTCACACTCTTATAAAATGCATTCATTTCTCTCTTAAATCGATGTGGGATTTCACAATCCACCTCCTTCGGGCCCAACATCCTTACTGATACTTGTTCCCCTCTAATCAATATACTCAACTCTTCAAGTATGACAGACTCTGACATGCCTAATCAAAATTCTGGCTCCCTTTGCGACACTCCTGCCCCGACAAAAATGCTTACTCGTTGTCACCGAAACACTACGTGCTCATGTTCTATTTCTTGGAATAGGAACAATGGATCAGTATTTGCCAAGCTCTACAACAAGAGTAAGAAGAGAAAGAAGCACGCAAGTACACGCAGAACATTTTCGGTTTCAAAAAATTAACCCAATCCAACCCAAAATACTAGTTCAACCCAACCCAACTCCTATAATTTGGGTTGGGTCAGTTTGGGTGGTGGAGCATCAGCTCAACAACACCCATAATGTCTTCCTTGTGGGTTTTCTTTTTTAGTATGAAATATATATATTTTAAAAAATTTATTAATAGAATTTGAACTACTTTTGGACCAATCAATTTGACAGAGAAAAGTTGATTTGTTTTCCAAAAACAAAAAACAATTTGTTTCTAACGGCATATATATGAACAAATTTTTATTAATGAAGCATAGTACGTGTTTGATGATGAAAGTCCGGCTAATTTAGGGAATAATCATGGGTTTATAAGTAAGGAATACTAACTCCATTGGTATGAGGCCTTTTGGGAAGCTCAAAGCAAAGCCATGAGAGTTTAAGCTCAAAGTGGACAATATCATATCATCGTGGAGAGTCGTGATCGTCTAACATGGTATCAGAGTCATGTCTTAAACTTAGCCGTGCCAATATATTGACAAATCCTCGAATGTCGAACAAAGGACTCCAAAAAGAAAAAAGGAGTCAAGTCTCCATTAAGGGGAGGCGTGCTTTGTTCGAGGGGAGGTGTTGGATGATAAAAGTCTCACATCGACTAATTTAGGGAATGATCATGGGTTTATAAGTGATGAATACTAACTTCATTGGTATGAGGCCTTTTGGGGAAACTCAAAGCAAAACCATGAGAGCTTATGCTCAAAGTGGACAATATGTCGTGTTCGTCTAATCGTACGTACCAATTCATGAGTTAGACTCAAAACAAACGTGGTTGAGGGGTTTTTATGTTCATTATTATTATTAAAAAAAAAATTGGGAAGAGGAAAGAGGAAAGAAGAAAGGACCGAACATTGTAAGGCGGCGAAAGGTTAAAACACTGTTTGTTTGTTCATATTTCCCCGCGTTTTTCACCTCTCCTTCGCTCATTTACGCCTTCGATTTTCTCAATCTCTTCATCCATTCTTGTCGAAATCATCTCTATTGCTAAAGAAGGAACCCCGATTGAATTCAATATGCATGCCGTGGTTTTGAATTCCTCCCCTTGCGCCAGAGCTCCGCAAACCCTTGGAACTCCTTGTTTACGTAGCTTCAAGGTTCATTTCGTTTCTTTATTTTGCTCATCCTTTTCATTCCTCAAAACTAAATTGGTGAGTTTTTTTTGGATTTTCTTGTAGATTTCGACCTTATTATTTGCCCACTGCAGTCCTCTTTGGAGGAGATCATCTCGTTCCCTTCGTAATCGATTGCTGTCTAACTCACGTAGCCAAGGTACGATTTATTTTTCCGTTCTATTCAAGTGGTTTGGATTGGTATAAGGTTCTGGTTGTTTATTCTATTGGATTGTTTTTGTTTACTGTCATCTCTTAAATTGTTCGCTGTTAGGGTCGATATGCGATTAGTTCTCTTTCTTTTGAGCTTACCGATCTTTGTCATTTGATTTGGAATTTGTTTTTTATAGTTATTAGAGCTGTTGCAACTCCCGATTCGGCACTGGAATTGCCACTGACGGCAGAAAATGTTGAAAGTGTGTTGGATGAGGTTCGACCGTATCTTATTGCAGATGGTGGAAATGTAGCATTACATGAAATAGATGGAAATGTTGTACGGTTGAAGCTACAAGGAGCATGCGGCTCATGTCCGAGTTCTGTTATGACCATGAAGATGGGAATTGAACGGCGTTTGATGGAGAAGATCCCTGAAATAGTTGCAGTGGAACCAGTAGCGGATGAAGAAACTGGATTGGAGCTCAACGAGGAAAATATAGAGAAGGTAAATAAATTCTCCCTTGGATGCGAACTTATATGTCGTTTCTGGATCGTATTTTTGCCTTGTACACACCCACCCACCTGTTATCTCTAGCCAAGGGATACAACTTATAATGTATGAGGGCCGCTCCCCTCTGTTTTTTTTTGTGTGAAATCCCACCTCGGTTGGAGAGGGGAACGAAGCATTTCTTATAAAGGTGTGGAAACCTCTCCCTAGTGGACGTGTTTTAAAATCTCGAGGGGAAGCCCAAAGAGAACAATATCTACTATTGGTGGGCTTGGGCCGTTACATTTGGAGTTTTTTTTCATAGTGGTATAGCTTCCACGGATTCTTTGATATATATGTTTATTGGGAAATTGAGGGTCGGATTAAGCAAGCATTCTTTTTACCCAACTTCGACAAACCTTCATATGGCTTCTTTCACTTTCTTGGATACTTTTGATAAAACAACACCTCTTGATGCAGTGAACTATTATGAATCACGAACCTCCACTATGGTATGATATTGTCCACTTTGAGCATAAGCTCTGACCTATGGATCCCTCGAACAACATCTCCTTAATCAAGGTTCGACTCCTTTGGAGCCCTTGAACAAAGTACATCATTTGTTCAATACTTGGTTAACTTTTGACTACACTTTCGAGGGTCCCAACTTCTTTGTTCGACATTTGAGGATTCTATTGTCATGGCTAAGTTAAGGGCATGACTCTAATACCATGTTAAGAACCACGAACCTCCACAATGGTATGATATTTTCTGCCTTGAGCATAAGCTCTCTTGGCTTTGTTTTTGGTTTCCCCAAAATGCCTCATTATCAATGGAGATGTATTCCTTACTTATAAACGCACGATCCCCTTAATTAGCCGATGTGGGACTTCTCTTCTAACAATCCTCCCTCGAACAATGTACACCATACAGTCTCCCCTGAGGCCTGTGGAGCCCTTGAACAACCTCCCCTTAATTGAGGTTCAACTCCTACTCTGGAGCTCTCGAACAAAGTACACCCTTTGCTCGGCACTTGAGTCACTTTTGACTACACTTTCAAGGGTCCCATGTTCGACATTTGAGGATTCTATTAACATGACTAAGTTAAGGCCATGACTCTGATACCATATTAGGAACCACGAACCTCTACAAGGGTATGATATTGTCCACTTTAAGCCTAAGCTCTCATGACTTTTCTTTTGGTTTCCCTAGGAGATGTATTCCTTACTTATAAACCCATGATCAACCCCTTAATTAGTCGATGTGGGACTCCTCTTCCAACCGTCCTCCTCACCATGAACCTATTAGTTCAAGCTGGTTGCAATGTCTATTAAGTGCATTCAATGTCCGGTGGCTGATTTTCTCATGCATTTGCTATTTGGTATTGGTCCAAAACTGCGACCAGCTTGGTTAGGCCTGCAGCATTAGTAGTCTATAAACCTGATACTAATGCAACATTAAAACTTATGAATTTGCTTGTTATGATATGAACCAACCGCTGTATAATTGAATCGTCCTGATAGATGCTGTTTGAAATACTTACTGTTCTCCACTGTGATATCAACTTTTCCCAGCTGTAAGAAATGCACGTTTTTTCCCCCTTCATATTGACTACCCTTTCATCCAAGTTGGTTCGCATCCTTGCCACTTGAATTGGTTGTGGATTCCAATGAACTCCATGGATCCATGACTCCTTCAGAAGCTGAATTTTCTTTGTGCCCTTTTCTTAGGTACTGGAAGAGATAAGACCTTACCTTGTTGGGGCGGCGGGAGGGTCTCTTGAACTTGTGGGTATCGAGGAGCCAATAGTTAAGGTTAGGATCACAGGGCCGGCCGCTGGGGTCATGACAGTTCGTGTGGCTGTTACACAGAAATTAAGAGAGAAGATACCAGTGATTGCGGCAGTTCAACTTTTGTCATAATGAATTTACAGAACACAATTGTAATGAGGGATTGTATTGTGTATAGTTCTTCATTATTCTGCTCTTCATAACAATAGAATATGTGTATAATGGTTGCATTGAGGTTTCTTGTCTGTTGTTGGTGCTGTATTTATGTAAGAAGGTAGCCTCATGTAACTTTTTATATGATTTTCAAGGGAAGGCACAAATAATTTCAATTACAATGAATGAATTAGCTTTAGCTTCTGTTTATGTATATATAACTGACTTATGTTCGAGTTATTTATACAAGTATTCTAGTTTACTAATTTTCGTGGAGTTCCTGACCGGCATGCTATTTGTTAAGTTAGGAACCATGAGTATTTCTGACCGTTGGTATATGTGATGTTACAGGTTGACAATGAATATTTCTGACCCTTGGTATATAAGATGTTACAGGCTTTCAGAGAGACATTGAGCTGTATTTGATTGAGAGTAATTTTTACCTAAAAGTCAACTAGGAATAAATGGTGAATAAAATTTAAAAACAGCTGGATAGATAATAAACGAAAGAATGACACATCAACTATTTAATGAGTAGTAATTACTCAGTAAGATATAAATGAGGCAAGCCAACCGAGGATGGGACTAGCGGGCTCGAGACTACAAGGAATCCATTTCTGAGTCTGTTTTATGTACATGTACTTTTGCAGTTGAAAACTTACTCTAGTTATTTTTATGTTATAAAAAATATCGGATTTACATGTATTACTTGATATATATGAAAATGTTTTGGTTTTACGATTGACTTTTGAATTAAATTATTTATGTCTGTGAATGTTTGATTAATCCACCGCACCTAAATGGTGTGAAAGTTATCTTATTTATAATCAAATAATTTACAAGGATATGAAAATAGTAATATGAAAATAGTAATAAATGGAAATAACAATAAATGGAAAGATACCTATGATAATAAGGTAAATTATAATAAAATATCAAATATAATATATATGGTAAACTATAATTTATTACTAAATATCCTTAACAATGACATTGGTAACTCCTGTGAATCGAGTTGTCGATGAATGAGTGTTACAAATATTTGACTCTTTGACATTCATCTGATATGACTAGTTGTCAATTTTGTTAAAGTAGTGGTTGTTGTTTATTTATTTGCTAGTTTATAACATTACTTTCTTAAACCAATTTCTAAACGTTTTTTAAAATTTTCTTTGACTCCATTTTCTAAACAATTTTCTTGAATACGAGACTAGAGACTAGAACATATGTCGTCTGTGCCAATGACAACCTACGTTTTAGTTGACTGACTTACTTGAGAACGAGAGTAAGAAACATAATCAGTGCAATTGTGATACTCAGCCTCACACAGTTCCCCTTTTTATTTTCCTCGAACAAAACCCGACTAGCTACTTGGCTTAGTCGTTCACTCGAGCCAAAAACTTTTATCTACAAAATAATAATAATTAAAAAAAAAAAAAACAGATGTGGCCCTACAAAAACATTGAAAAACAAATAATAAAATAAACTTTTTTTTAAAGAAAATAATTTACAAACAATATCCCTAACTACTTTTCTTCAATTTATTTTCGTACCCAATTGGTCAATAAATATTTTTTTGAGAACTAAACATGATTAAATGATTTTAATATTACGTTACAATATTTGAGATAATATTTAATATATAATTTATACATAAAAATAAAATAATATTTTAAATTATTAAGTAATAGATAACTAGTCAAAATAATTTATCCTAAAAAAAGCCATTATTGTAGATATATCTTTTAAACCACATCCATAAAAATTAGGGTACACTAACAATACTTGCTAGCGGTGTGATTGAATTTTTACAAATGGTATCAGAACCATACACAAGGTGATGTGCTAGCAAGGAGGCTAAGCTCCTAGGAGGAGGTGGACATGAGGCGTTGCGCTAGCAAAGATGTTGGGCCCTGAACCAGACATGGGGCGATATGCCAACAAGGACGCTGGACCCTGAACCAAACATGGGGCGATATGCCAACAAGGAGGTTGAGCCCTGAAGGGGGTGGACATGAGGCGATATGCCAGCAAGGACATTGAGCCCCGAACTAGACATGAGGCGATGTGCCAGCAAGGAGGCTGAGCCTCGAAGGGGAGATAGATATGAGGCGGTGTGCAAGGACGCTGGGCTGCGAACCAGACACGAGGACGTTGGGTCTTGAACCAAACATAGAGTGATGTGCCAGCAAGGAGGTTGAGCCCCAAAGGGGGTGGACATAAGGTGGTGTGCAAGGACGTTGGGCTGCGAACTAGACACAAGGCGATGTGTCATCAAGGAGGCTGAGCTCCAAAAGGGGATGGACATGAGGCAGTGTACCAGCAAGGACGTTGGAACCCGAAGGGAGATAGATTGGAGGTCCCACATCGATTGGAGAAGAGAACAACTGCGAGCGAGAACGCTAGGCTCCGAAACAGTGGATTGTGAGATCCCACGTTAGTGGGGGAGAAAAGAACTAAATGAGGAAATTAAAGGAAAAGCAGAAAAAAGAAATATATTATTAAATTTAAAATTTTAAGATCACCCGTTTAGTAGTAGAGTCCACCCTTTTTTGAAAAAATTAGTATCACATTTGAGAAGCAAAGGGGGAAATTTCTTCTTCTTCTTCTTCTTCTTCTCTCTCTCTCCTTTCAGCCATTTCGATCCAATCCAAGCAACGCCCCCAGCTGTATCCAGTTTCTCTTCACCCAGCGGGGCCTCTCTTTATAAGCGCCGACATACCCATCAACCCTTTGATCTTTCGCTCCATTCATCTTCAAATCTTCCCTTTCGATTTACACCCATTTCTATTTCCGTTACTGGGTACCGACGCCCTTGAATCAGCGCTCGATGAACTAGCCACTGCTTGCTTCATCGCTTCTTCCTCATCCATGGCGGCCGAGCCTCCCAATTGGCACGAAAGCATCTCCTCGGACAATACCAAAGGCCTTATTCTTGCTCTTTCTTCCAGCTTCTTCATTGGTGGGAGCTTCATTGTCAAGAAGAAGGGCTTGAAGAAAGCCGGTGCGTCGGGAATCAGAGCTGGTACGATTCTTCGGAAATTGTCTGATGTTCAATGTGTGTTTCAGATTTTTTTCGTTTTAGTTTGATTGATTTCTGTTTTTTGAATCGGAGTACGTTTTGATCCGATATGGTAATATGAGTTGATTTAATAATGTTTTTTATACTCTGGATTGGCGTCCAGCCACGCTTGATTTCTTTTAGTTTTGTTGTAATTTTGCTGATTGAATCCTTTCAGGAGCTGGCGGATTTACTTACTTATACGAGCCATTATGGTGGTTGGGCATGATAACAAGTGAGTTTTAAGCGTTCTTGGCGATTGGTTATTGATGTTTATGATTTCAAATTGAAGAACAGTAATAATCAAATCTTCCATTTCAGAAGTAACTGATCTGTTCTCTTAAACTGGTTGAAACATTGATTCTTGAAAGTTCTTTTGATTCTGTCTTCTTTGTTCGTAAGATCGCCCACCGCGGGCTAGCAAATATTGTCCATTTTGGCCCGTTACATATTGCTATTAGCCTCATGGTTTTAAAATGCGTATACTAGAGAGAGGTTTCTACACCCTTATAAGGAATGCTTCGTTCTTTGTTTCCTATTCTCCTCCTCAACCGATATGGGATCTTGCAGTTTCAATGATAATTACGACTCTAGATGAATACAGTTATAAATTTTTTCTATTTTTATGTATTAATCATAAACCAAATGAGTTCTTCATAGTTGGAAAGTGAATTTGGATATAGATCTGATGGATTTCTATCATTTCAACAGTGATTGTTGGAGAAATTGCTAACTTTGTGGCATACGCATTTGCACCAGCCTTATTAGTCACTCCATTGGGAGCTCTCAGCATCATAATCAGGCATGGATCAAACATTGCTCAAACTTAAAGACTTAATTTTGTTGGTTTCAATCCTAATTTCGGATCTCGTCGTCCTACAGTGCTGTTCTTGCACATATCATTTTACAGGAGAAGCTACACATTTTTGGAGTTCTTGGCTGTATTCTATGCGTGGTCGGTTCCACAACGATTGTTCTTCATGCTCCCCAAGAACGTGAGATCGAATCCGTGACCGAAGTTTGGCAAATGGCAATGGAGCCAGGTACAAAGCTGCCTGGATTCAGTTGTTTTGTTTCAGTATATCATTTTCTTTTCGACTTAACCAACATTGAGCCCTTTTCCATGGCAGCTTTTCTTTTGTATGCAACTCTGGTCATAACCTCTGCAGTTATACTCATATTCCACTTTATACCTCAATATGGTGAGACACACATAATGGTTTATATTGGAGTTTGTTCCCTATTAGGTTCGTTATCGGTACGTCTGCTATGTTCTTCGTGAACTGCTCATTAGGTTTTGTTTCCTTTGCATCATTTCATCATGAATGGTTCATTACTATGCAGGTTATGGGTGTTAAAGCTCTTGGAATTGCCATGAAGTTGACATTATCTGGAGTAAACCAGCTAGTTTATCCACAAACTTGGATTTTTGCAATACTTGTAGCCACATTTTTGCTGACCCAGATGAATTATCTGAACAAGGTAGCCATGCTTTGTTCTTTCCAGTTTCTCTCTTTTTCTCGTGCTGCCATCTTTGAGCGATCCCTCCTATTCGTTCCCGTTGTTGATCCTGCAGAGTTTATATGTTGAAGAGAATCTTGCTGCTATATAATAAGAAATACAGTAGTTTGACTGATAATCCATAAATTTATTGCCACTTTTTCACTTTTTCATGCATGGCTAAGCCCACCGCTAGTAGATATTTTCTTTTTTAGGCTTTCCTATTCGGGCTTCCCCTCAAGGTTTTTAAAACGTTTTTACTAGGGAGAGGTTTCCACACCCTTATAAAAAATGTTTCATTCTCCTCTCCAATCGATGTGAAATCTCATAATTTACTCCCCTTCGAGGCCCAATGTCCTCGCTGACACTTGTTCCCTTCTCCAATCGATGTGGAACCCTCCAATCTCACCCCCCTTCAGGGCCAGCGTCCTTGCTAACACACCGCCTTGTGTCCACCCCCCTTCGGGGCTCAGCCTCCTCATTGGCACATCGCCCGGTGTCTGGCTCTGATATCATTTATAACAACCCAAGCTTACCATTAGCAGATATTGGTCTCTTTGGGTTTTCCCTTTCAGACTTCCCCATTTTTAAAACACATCAACTAGGGAGTGGTTTCTACACCTTTATAAAGAATGTTTTGTTCTCCTTCCCAACTGATGTAAGATCTCAAAATTTTCCACATTGAAAAAAATGATGCGTACCTATTTCAATATGATAATTTAACACACAACATCCTATCAAGATTCATGCTGTATTTGCTTACCTTTTCTTCTCCTTCTCAATGCAGGCCCTTGATACTTTTAACACTGCTGTTGTATCTCCCATATACTACGTGATGTTCACATCACTGACCATTTTGGCAAGTGTTATCATGTTTAAGGTACATTCATAATATGTTTCGACAGTGTTTTTCGCAATTGATTGGTAATTAATACGCTTATTAGGACTTGTTTCTCAACGAGTATGCAACATATTTATGAGCTTTTAGACTCGTTCTATGCCTCTTCGGCATCATTCATCGTAAGATGTCAATACCGACACAGCGATAACAATTGATCATTCACTATCAGGATTGGGATAGGCAGAGCCCAGCACAAGTCATCACAGAATTATGTGGATTTGTGACTATTCTTTCAGGAACCTTTCTTCTTCACAAAACAAAAGACATGGTTGATGGTAAGCTCATTGACCTTTCTCTGCCGAGTTCTAGCTGTGAAACGTTGACTGCTTTTACACACCTTGTCTTACTCCGGTGTTCGGTTTCCAAATCCTACAGGTTTATCGACATCGTCGCCAATACGACTTCTGAAGCACATGGACGAAGACAGATATAATGGCTTGGAAGGCATACCTCTAAGACGGCAAGAATCCATGAGGTTGCCATGAAGAATTCATATGATGCTCTGTTTGAGCGTTCTAAATTTGATCATATTCTTTGAACAAAAACTTCTTCTTCTTCTGATAATTGCAGTTCCATTGTGCATACAAACTCTCTCCCTGTACATCAACAGGATTGTAATTTTATACCCCATTATTTACAAATAGATTAATTCCGACATGTCGTAACTGGAAATGGTCTGGTGCTAGCATATTTCTTTTGTCTGCTAAATAATAAATTTAATTATAGTACCAAAAAAAAAAAAAATTAAATAAAAGTTATAGCACACGATCTCCTCACAGCAACCTTCACTATGGACAATGAATTCACGAAAGACTTCAAAATTTTTATTTAAAAAAGTAGGTTGTGAGATCTTACATCGAACGACGTTGGGTCTCGAATGAAAGTAGATTGTGAGATCTCACATTGGTTCGAACGACGTTGGGTCTCGAATGAGAGTAGATTGTGAGATCTCACATTGGTTCGAACGACGTTGAGTCTCGAATGAGAGTAGATTGTGACTCGAATGAGAGTAGATTGTGAGATCGCACATTGGTTCGAGAAGGGAGAACGAAACATTTTTTATAAAGCCGTAGAAACATCTCTCAAACGTATGTGTTTTACAAGCAGTACTAATCATTACTTTGAATATGAATACAAAATCTTGTGTCTGTGTTTGATGAATCTGAATTTAACAATTTGATTAACTCAACCATATATTATCAAATTAGCTTGCTCGAATTTATTGTTAATTTATATATATTTCACTGTTTATTTATCAAAATTAAATAAAAAAATATTAATAAAAATAAAAAATTAAATAATTGATTGGACAAACAACTCAATCCAATATATTTTATTTTTTTCAATTAAAAAAACATTTTCTATTGCAATTTTTATTTATTAGATTTGTCAGAAAGAAATAGTTTGGAGAAAACAGAGGGTGGGAGAAAAAACCGGGTCTGAATTCCTTCGACCGGGCGGCTCGAATAGCGAAACGGTAATTTGCAGGCGAATTCCGGTCCACCAATACTGAGCAGACTAAACCAGCAAACCGACATGAACACCGAACCTGAAAGCTTCCCGTCTCTATCGTGTTCTCGTCTCTCTCCCCTTGCTTATTCATCTCGCGCCGCGCGCCCTCTAATCTGTTCCTCCACAGTGCTTCTTTTTGTTATTGATTCAACTTCGTATTTCGATTTTTTGTCGATTCGGTTGAGTTCGTGTTCAATTGCTTGGAGTAGAAAGGGGAGGGAGACAGAGACAGCGACAGAGGCATGGAGACTTACTTTAATCACAATCTGTTCGAGAGGCGTCCCATTGTGAAGAACAAGACTCCTGCTGCTAAATGGATCAAAGAATGGTAGTCTCTTTTCTTGCCGGATAATTCTTCTTTTCTACGCTACCATTGGTGGAGCTCTTTCTTCGCTTAGGGCTTAATTGATGAACTATAACTCTCTGATTTCCACTACTATTTTTTCTGTAAGAGAATCACAAATAATTTCTCCTGCATAGACAGTTGCAGTTTCCTTCATGGCGTAGGCTGAAATCAAGGGATTGAATTGGGTTTCTTTTCGTTTAAAGTAGCATTGAAAGAATGAGAAACACAATCAAATAGATATTACTTCAGAAGAAACAATTGAATCACAGTTAAATAGGAAAGAAGGGGGATTTTGTATTGTGTACCCAGACCTGTTGATAGATATAGATTTCTTTTGGAGGATCAAAGAAAATGTAGTAAATAGGAAAGAATTGAAATATCATATAGCATCCATGTGTTGCGTTTAGGCTGTTAGTTCCATAATAACCATGCTAGTTGCTTTTTTAGGGTCCCCCAAGATGTTGTTGCAACTGGAGGAAAGTGCTTTCTTTTGAAATGGGTCACAGGTACTATGTATTTCATTACTACACTGTTATTTTCCTTTGTTGTATTGATGTTGTCTAGAACGTGGGACGAAAAGGATTCCTTTGTAGTTGTTAAAGACTTCAATGTTCGTTCAATGTTGGTGTTGCTTTGTAACTTCTGGAACTTCGTACTCAAATTATTAGATTGAAAACTCTATGACCGTGCACTGTTCAGAGGAAGGAGTTTTGTGTTTGGTGGATGTCTGTCTAAAAGATGACCAATGCCTTAGAATGTTTAATGTCTGCTTATAGATACCGAAGCCTTAAGACCTTTCTTAAATAAATAGAAGCCTATTGAGTGTTATTGTTGTCTGGAACGGACATCTTTATAAATCTTGGGCATGCATTTGGTACTTTTGATTGGATGGCTGATTTATTATCATTATTATTTAATGATTCCGGAAGGTGGTTTTCCCTTCGTTTCATCAACTCATCTGTAACAGCTCAAGTCCACTGTTAACAGGAATTGTCCTTTTTGGGTCTCCCTTTCTGGCTTCCCCTCAAGGTTTTTAAAACCACCTCACATAGAAGAAGGGGAACCCCTTTCAAACTAACGAGAATTCTGACTTTACTAAAATGCTTGCTGAAAATCAACGAAAGAAGGAAGATCCCTCGTAAAGAATGCTTTATTCTCTTCCCCAACCGATGTGGAATCTCACAATCTACCCCCTTTGGGGCCCAATGTTCTTGCTGGCACACTGTCTTGTGTCCACCCCCTTCGGGGCTCAGCCCCCTCGCTCGCACATCGCTTGATGTCTAGCTTTGATACCATTTGTAACAACCCAAGCCCACCGCTAGTAGATATTGTCCTCTTTGAGCTTTCCCTTTCGGGTTTTCCCTCATAAAAATGTTTCGTTCTCCTACCAACTGTGAATGTTTGATTAATCCACCACACCTAAATGGTGTGAAAGTTATCTTATTTATAATCAAATAAATTACAAGGATATGGAAATAGTAATAAATGGAAATAACAATAAATGGAAAGATACCTATGATAATAAGGCAAATATTAGATATTTGCCTTATAATAAAATATCAAATATAATATATATGGTAAACTATAATTTATTACTAAATATCCTTAACAGCGATGTGGAATCTCACATCACCTTACTTCCTACATGGAGTAAGTAAAATAAATTGTGATAATTTGCTTCAATTAGGTCCATGCTTCTGTCTTTTCTATTTTTTATTTGTTTATTTTTGCTTATAGTTATTTTTTCCCTCTGGTTTTTTTTTTTTTTTTTTTT